GCCTTGGCTCCACTTCACAGTCTCAGGGCAAAGCTGAAGGAGTCCTGAGCCTCAGGCTGTTTTTCTCAGTCTGGGGGTACAGGGTGGGCACAGTCACGTCCTTTAGAAAGCCCACCATGTCTGCAGCCTCGAGAACAACCCCTAACATGCAATGACAGTGTGGCGAGCAGGTTTGGGGAGATTAAATGATTGGGGCAATTCTACTGTCTTCTGTAAATGAGCCTCTCACTTGTTTTACATGACACCCATCACTTTAAACAGCCAATGTATCTTTACTTTTCTGTGTGGCTCTCATTGCCCAGCTCTCATCCAGACAGTCAGGAAGCAGGTGGTGGCACCCTGGCAGCCTTCAGGTGCCTACAAAACACAGGAATAGAGCTGGGTCTTTTATAGTCAGGCTGACATCACATGGAGGGTGGGCAGCTCCACCCCCGGCTCAGAAACACTGCCCTGGGGCGGGGCAGGGCTGAGGGCCTGTTCTGACAGGTGTGCTGGTGTAGTGTCTGGAGGGGGCGGGTATGTGGCACAGGGACTCTGGAGTGTCTGTGGTCCTTGGTACCTCTAGGGTTCTTCTTTCATCTCAGGGACATCTCATCTCAGTCCTCAGTTTCCCATGAGCTAAGAAAGGGTCAATGAGCCATCAGCTGCAGACAGCCTAAGACACTGGCCTGGTAGCAAAGGAGGGGGAGGTGGGAGATGAAGAGGCCAGGGGCCAGCCCCACCCTCGCTGGCCTGGCCTTCCTCCTGCCTTTGCTCTCTGTGGGTAGTCCTGCTAGTGTGAGACCTGGTAGAGGCAGAGCTAAGTAGGTGCTGGGGACAGGACAGTGGAGGAGAGCTGGGTATTCCTTTGTGTTTCTAGCTGTCACTGGTGACCATCCCCAGCTCCAATGACCCTCCTGGCCATGCCTGGGCCCCTATGGGGAACAGACACAGAGGAGCCTGCCAAGGAGATTGGTGGGAGCTGTACTGTGGTCCATGCAGGACTGGGACAGTCCAGGGTTGCATCCATGAGCTCCACAGGAAAGTCCTGTGTCCCTTTGTCACCAAGCACATTCCCCATCTTCCTCTAAGAATTTATCAAGTTTCACTGAACACAAATTTATTGAAGAGAGAGCCTGGAGAGGACTAGCTCAGACTTGATGACTTTGTGTTGGCAGTTGGAACCAGCCAGAAATGAGCTTGCTCCTCTGGTCTCAGAAGCTCAGTCTTAACCACAAGATGTCATGATTAGCATCTCCATTCCACGGATGAGGAAGCTCAAGCTCGGCACAGTAAAATCTCAGATCCAGTGCAAAGTGAGGCAATAACCTGGCCCCTTCAGCTCTTCCCTGCCATGTGGCACTGCCCAGAAGGCCTTCTGAACCTGTCTGTGCTTGTCCTTCATCTACTGTCAGAAGCTGAAACCTCTGTTCATGACAGTCTTGGTGACCTAAGGCATGGGCATGCCCTAAGTGCTTCCTATCTCACTACACCCAACAAGACCCTTCAGGCTCTGCTGTCCCCTGTGGTTGTCCAGGTACATCATTCCTGTTACTCGTGTCAAGGAACACGAGTCCACTCATTCTTGCCCAGGCTGGTGCTCCAAGTGTAGTGGAGATGGCCCTGGCAGCTGAAGTTTCAGGGCATGAATGGTGATGCAGGGAGGCAGAAACAGAGCAAAAAGTGTTGGGTGCGGAAAAAGAACCAACTCCTGGCAGAGATCAAACAGGAGACCCTGTCCTATCTTCATCTGGTGAGCCTCAGGTACAATGGGTGGTCTTTTCAGGATGCTTGATTGGATCCTGGACTTTCCATTCAGAGATCTGAAGGTCTGGCTGTACTCCTGCTTTGCACAGGACTAGGGTGGCAGGGGTTTGCTTCTTCTCTACACAAACCTTAGCTGTTTCCTTGGCTTTTGGTAAACCTGAAGGAAGAGAAGGAAGAGGAGGAAGGAGAGGAAGAGGAAGAGGAGGAGGAGGGAGAGGAGGAGGAGAAGGAAGAGGAGGAGGCGGAGGAGGAGGAGGAGGAGGAGGAGGAGGAAAGAATCACTGCTAAGAGGCTGCTATGAACCCAGCTTTGCTCAGGGATTTGTACTCCATGTCATGAGAGACCATCCAGGGCCCTTTCAAGGCAGAGAGACTGTGACTTGGCACAATAACCATTCCTGTAACCCTGGTACATTCAGATCAAGTCCTTAGCAGATGTCTACCATGGATGAGGTTCTATACATATTCTCTCCTTACTCAGCTGCCTCTTAATTTTTTTCAATTTTACATGTGAGTATTTTACCTAAATGTATATGTGCACTCATGGGTACAATGCCCATAGAGGCCAGAAGAGATGGCATCAGATCCCTTGGAACTGGAGTTCCATATGGTTGTTACTTGCCATGTGGGTGCTGGGAACCAAATCCAGGCCCTCTGTAGGAGTAGCCAGTGCTCTTAACTTTTGAGCCATCTCTGCAGCCCCTTACTCAGCCCCTTTTATAGGTGAAGACTTGGGCTTGGTCCTGGTTAACATGTGACACAACCAAGACCATACTGTTAGCATGTGATAAAGTCAAAGTTTCCTTCCAGGCCTCAGTAGGTTGGTTAGGGGCTCAGAGTGCAGCTCATATGGACTCTGCCCAGGCCTACCGAGTTTCAAGATGCAGTGGCTCCAGCCAACTTGGGCCTGGCTGACACACAAGGCTGTCTTCCCTGGAGCTTTTGGATCCACAGCCTGTCTCTGAAGAGAAGCCCACCTGCATCTCTCCTGCCCTTGCCAAAGCATAGTCAGCACAACCTTAGCTCCTCTGCATCTCAATATATCACAGCTCCCTTTGCTATTCAGCAACTTTGAAACTAATAGTGATCCTCACTTCCTGGGGGCTTGAAGACCATACAGACTATACACATCGACCACCCATGACAGAGTCAGGTATTGGGTAGTTACCATCCCCAATCACCAACATCCTTCATTTCCTTTTAACAAGGCAGAAAGTAGCACATGGGAAGAAAATTTTGGTGGCTGGACCGGAACTCCCCAATTGCTGGCCCTCCCCCCTGTGGTCCATGGCACGGGGCAGGCCCATTGTTGATATGGAGGGAGAGGCTGGGTTACCTGCTATGGACCAGAAGGAGGAGCCAGATAAAAAGAACGCTGGTTCCAGGTGGGCAAAGGTCACCTGAAGCTCACCTTGCACACCCTTTCCTTCAGCCCAACCCCAGGTAAGCTAAAGAATATGGCCCCTTAGCTCAAGGAAATGCCATGAATTACAACTGGGCATCCAAGAGGAGTGGCATTTGAAGAAACACAAACAAAACAGGCGGAGAAATGGTAGGTAGGGAATGACTCAGAAAACAGCATGTTCAAAAGCCTGGTGTGAGAAGAAATGTGCCTGTCTCGCCAAAGGCAATCCATTGTGGCCAGAGGGGCCCAGATTGGTGGGAAAAACCCATTGGCATGAGTGGGGGCAGTTATCAAGGCTGGGGACATACACACTAATTTTCACACTAGGTCCTCCTTTCTTCCAGGGTGTAGGGGACCAGAGGCCCCCCTCTTTCAACAGCAGGAAGAGTCACTGTGGGTATTTTCTCTCTCTGTAGAATGTGATTTTAAATGTGATCACATTTAAAATAAGGTCTGGAGATCTACAGCTCTGTCAGACCCTCCCCCCTCCTCTCTGGAGGTCTCACAGGTCTGTCTCCTTGAGGTGGGGGCATTTCCCTTGAGCTTCAGCAGGGTAAGAGCTGTATAGATTTTCATCCCTTCTAGGTGGTTCCCCAGGAGGAGGAGGTCTGGAACATCAGGAACCTAGCCTCTTTTAGCCTCCTGGGAAGTATCATCTTTTATTTTCATTTTTTAGTTTTGGTTTTTTAAGATAGGGTCTCCCAGTAGCCCCAGCTGACCTGGAATTCCCTATGTAGCCCAGGCTGACCTTGATCTCATATAGATCCACCTGCTGGGATTAAGGGCATGAACCACTATGTCCAATTTGAGTCTTTGTTTTGAGACAGGGTCTCACATTGCCCAGGCTGGCCTCACAGTTGCTACAAAGTGGAGGCTGGCCTCGAACTCCTGATTTTCCTGTTTCTACCTCTTGAGTGCTGGGAATATAGGTATGAACTACCATCTGTAGTTTATGCTGTGGTGGGACTGAAACACAGGGCTTCCTGTGCACTCTGTCAACTCAGTTGTTACATCCCCAGCCAGGGAAGTGTCACTTTAAGTATAAAGTAACAGTTTGGTTTTCTGGGCTTTGAATGCAGGGAAATGCCCTCCTTGGTTCTCATTTAATGCCCAGACTTTGGGCCCAGGGAAAACATAATGAACAAACGAAGGAATGAGTTATGGCTGATGCTCAACTTCCACATCTGGAAAGGAAGGTCAGGCGCCTGCCTGGGGCTAGAAGAGTTCAAAGGTAAGCGCTGGAGAGAGGAAGACTGGGGAGATGGACCTGGAGGCAGTTCCCAGAACTGTTTGAGGAGCAGTGCCGGTTGGCTAGAGCCTCCGGCAGGCCTGGTGGGGGGCACGGAGCCCGTCTGCGGCCCGGCTCCAGCCACCCGGAAGAGCAAGTGACGCTAGGCAAGGCAGTCCAGCTGGCTAGTGGGGAGTCCCAGACGTGGGCGTGGGGAGTCGGGGAACCCCCGCTGGCGCCTCCCGGACTCCATTGTGGATGACGTGCCCCCCACCTTGGCCTCCACATCCTCCGCTGTAAAATGGGGTCCTTTGGAAGGGTAGTTCGCGTGTCGCTGGCAGGCGAGGGGCGGCGAGCGCAGCCAGCCGGGGACTGGAGTGACGACCTGCGCCGAGAAGTCGCACTCGCGGGGCGTCCCCCCAGCTCTCCGCGGGGGCGGAGCTCCGAAGGGGCGGGCGCCAGTGGGGCGGGTCCTGAGCAGGGGCGGGACCGGGGCCGGCACCTGGGTGAGGTCGCGCCGCCCGGCCCCCTTGCACTTCCGTGTGCAGCGGCGCCAGAACAGGAGGCGGCGGCCGCGGGATTCCGTGAGCGACCCCGGCGCATCTGCCAGCCGTGTGGTGAGCCGGGCGGTCCCTCCCCGGACGCCGGGAAGTTCCTGATCAGCCCCGTGCCGACTCCGGTCCTCTGGCGCCGGGAGCCGCGCCGCAAGCCAGACCCCGACCCGCCGGGACCCCTAGCGCCTCGGCCCAGAGCTGGGAGGTGAGTGAGAGCCGGACGGGGCGAGGGGTCCAGGCGCCCTCGAGGGCGCAGCGGCCTCCCTCCCCCGGTTCCCGTTTCCGAGACTGAGCCGCGAAAATGTCCCGCCGTGCGAATCCCGGTACTCGGGTGGTTCTGACCGTCTTGGACGGAGGGGGTCCCAGCCCCGCGGTCCCCACACCTCTGCCCTCCCGTGCGTCCCCATCCTCGCCCGAGGCTGTCGGAAGTGCTCTGCGGCCCTCCGCCTGCTCTGTGGCCCTCCGCCCCCTCCGCGGCCCCCACCCCCTCGGTCTCCCGGGCCGGTACTTCTGCCCCTCGCCCTCCGCGTGCTCCGCCGCCCCACCCCCACCCGGCCCCCTTCCATCACGTCCTCCGGGAGCTGCGCCCGGGGCCCACGCTCGCCGGCCCCTGCCAGTCCAGCCTCGTCCCGTGCCCCGCGGGGCGGAGGCCGGGCCGCCGGGTCCCAGGCCGGGGTACCCGCGCGGCGCCGCCTCCTCCCTCTATCTCTTCTTTCGGTCTTCCTGGGCTCTCTTCTGTTTTGGGGCTGGGCGTGGCTCCAGTCTGCTCCATCCCCCTGCCCGCCCAACCCCTCTGGGGCCCCTCTCTCGGTGGCCTCTGCCTGGTGCGGGTCAGTCTGCGTCCCCCGAGGGCAAACGCCCCCCCCCCAGCGGGCCCAGTAATGGGGTCAGCAGAGATGGGGGCGCCCTGCTAACTAGCGGTGGAGAGGGAAGCCTTGGGCACCATCGCAACTGCTCCCACTTCCCCAACTCCCTCGCTCTGGGGGAGGGAAGAGCCTCACTAAGCACCTCACTTAGACCTGGTGGGGAGGGGTTAGAATGAGTAGGGGAGAATCCTTTCTCTGGTCCCTGCCCTGGCCCCTCAGAGTTTATCTCCTGTACTGTAGTGCCTGTATACAGGTATGTTGTGTGTCTTACCTCCCTGTGTATTGCTTGTCCCGGTGGGACTTCTGTGAGTGTTTCCTCTTCACGTGTGTGGCTTGCCTGTATGTATATGTCTATCTGTGTGTCCTGAGGTTCTTGGTACCCTTGCAACTTTACACATCATGTTTGGTGTGCTGTCACTAGTCTCCTCCCTGTGCTTTGTGATATGTGTGTGTCTTCACTTGTTCATGTGTATATCTCTCTGGATCCCAAAAGTCCTATGTTGTTCACTGAGTGCATCATATCATGGTGACCAACTGGCTCCAGCACATTAAATCCCATAATTGTGGGAACCCACACAATGGGATGTTAGTGTGTATATGTATGTGTACTTGTGTGTGTATATGCGTGTGTCATGTGTAAATGTGTATATGTGTGTGTACTCATATTTGGTTCCTCTCCCTCTGCTGCTGACCCACTGTGACCAGGCTGACCTGGTACAGAGGGAGGGGACTGGTCCTTGGGTTTCTTCATTCCTGCTGTGGACTAGGCTGGGGTATGGTGGGATAGACAGGGGGTGTGGTGTGGTGGCTGTGTAGCATGCTGTGTGTGTGTGTGTGTGTGTGTGTGTGTGAGAGAGAGAGAGAGAGAGAGAGAGAGAGAGAGAGATACTAAGGTGTCTCAGTGACTGTCTCACCGTAGAATGTTGTAAAGCTCTGGTGTATGACAGGACTGTGCTGAAGGGGACACTGGCAGTATGGGGCTACGGTGGGAGTATATGACTGATAGGAGACTCACAGTCTGAGTGTATGAAACTGCAGGTGTGTGACTGTGATTGTGGGCAACAGAGAGTGACTGGGTATGGGTGTCAGCAAGGGGGGTTGTGACAGGGTATGTGGTAGCAGCACTAGGAAGGAAGGTGAAAGCCCCAGTGTGTGAGGTTGTAGGAAAACATGAGGTTGTTGGCGTGCACTCTGCTGCAATAGCCCAGTCCTGGTTCCTGGAGAGATGGAGAAAATTAAGGCAAGTCTTGGGGTTTGTAGTGTTGTGGCCAAGGCCTCGAGTTCTGGACCAACAAAGCGGTACGCTCAAATACTTGCTGTGCCTTTTGAGGGCAAGAGTCCCAAGTTGAGTTTGTCTGTGAAATGGAGAAAGTTCGAGGACTTACAGGTCAAAGATCCTTCAGCATAGCCTTGGCGCACACTGAGAAGTTGTATTTGGGGACCACCCCCAGCTGTGTGTCCTATTTTTACAGGAGTTGAGACAAATGAAAATCCAGGTAGGTCTCAACCCTATTTCTCCCAAGAACAGTATGCCTGTCACCTCTTCCTATACTCTTGACCAGGCTGCTTGTGGGGGCGAAGACTTGTTCATAGCATGCCAGGACCCAGCCCGTCTCAGCCCTGCCCCCACCAGTCCCCAGTATCTATAGCCATGGTGGCGAGGTGTGGGGAGGATAGGGGTGACTCAGGGATGTGATTACAGGGCACTGACACCATTTATCTGGCACAGCTAATTGGAGTTTAAATTAAAACTAGAAATAATTTGAAATACTGACAAAAGATAAAGCCTGAGGGTACTTCTGCCTCCAGGGAGTAGTGATGGGGGTCTCTAGCTGGGGGAGGAGGATCTGCAGAGGAAATGCCAGGAGACCCCAGGACCTTGCTGCCTTTCCTCCTTTCCAGGATATCTCCAGGCTTTGGTTTTTTCAGTGTGTAATGGTGCGACAGTAATGTGAGAAGCACTGAAACCATATAAAGCAGAATAAAAAAGCATCACTATTCATCAGTTACTTTACTTTGTGGTGTTTGGGACTGAACCCAGAGCCTTATCCGTGGTAGGCAAGCACTCAGCATGCACATCCAGCCTCTCTCCTTTTTTTTTTTCCAAATTTTGAGACAGAGTCTCACTAAGTTGCCTAGGCTAACCTTGAACTTTCTACTGTTCTGCCTTAGGCTCCTGAGTAGCTGGGCTTATAGGTATGTACCACCATGCCCAGCTCATCTGTTGCTTTCAATGTGAGTCTAGCACAGGAACTAACACGATGTCTTAAAGCCTTAGCAGCATTTTCGCCACTTAAAAAAAATAGGCTTATTTGTCCCACGTAGTGAGTCTGAAGCCAGTCTGGGATAAAGAAAAAGGCTCAGAGGAATTGTCAGAGGCTATTAAGTGGTTGGTACCCTACTGCACCCTACAATTCCGAAACCTTTAGGGCCACTTTCTGACAGGAGGGTCAGGAACAGGGTTTTGTGTTGTTGTTTGTTTGTTATTTTCTGTGTTCTGTCCTCCTTACCAGATTGGGAAATGTCTTAAGAACAAGGACACAGTTCCACAGCCTAACATGGAAGGGACATTAGCTATAGCTTGATGCTCAAGAGAATTTGAGCCCAACACCCCATTTACAGAAGAGAAAGGCCTGAGTTCCTTAGCTCAGCATACTTGAGCCAGCCTGTGCTGGCTTTGCTGAGGCTGGCTGGTGGGGGAGCCTGTTTGGCTGTTTCCCCACTCAGCTGTTTTCTCCTGTTCCTGCAGGTCTGCTGGGAATTGGTCCAGGCAAGGGTGTTGGACCTACTTAGTTCTGGTGGTTGGTGAGTAGCAGCAGCAGCAAGAACCAGGACTGAGGAGAAGCAGGAGCTGGGAGGCCCAGGTAGGATGGTCATCCCAGGCAGATGAACAGTATGCCAGGGTGGCTTCCTCTTCAAGACTCCTCCACTTCCACTATGGAACTGACTGGGTTATGTGCAGAAACCGTGATTTCAGTGAGAGGCTAAGTGTCTACTGCCCTGCATATACAGGGCTTCCTGCCTGATACCTGGCCATGGCATTTTCCATTGGGGTTCAGAGGACTGGGGCCCAGCAGTGGTAATACTATTTTTGGTCGGTTAGAGGGAAAATGGCTTGTGAGCCAAGGGTTGGGGTGGATGTGTCAACTTCTCTGTGGTGCCTGGATCTGCCTCAAACTGCCCTCATTGTCACAAGGAAACAGGTTCACCTGTGCCCCATGGTAGGTTGGATGCTGGACTGGGAATAGAATGGAATCTCCCAGCAGGACTGAGCGGTTTCCCTCTTTGTATCCTCAGCCTTCTGATTCAGGGCTGGACTAGGCTGGGCTGGACAGGTAGGGCAGTGTCTCTAAGGAATGCCAAGGAAGGCTGAAGGCTCTGAGGCCCCTCATGAAGTTAATCTTCCCTGTGGGGACCACCCTTGCCTCCTTCAGCCCCTGTTACAGTAAGAACAGTTCTGTGAATCTGGGACGGTAGCTCTGTGGTAGTGTGCTTAGCATGTGTGAGCCCTGGGTCCTCAGCACCAAAGCAAACAAACCAAAAAAAAAAAGAGGGGAAGGAGGTCGAGAGGAAGAAAGGAAACTGAGTGACTGAGTGTTTAGTGGACCCCCAGTGAGAAGAGTTCTGCATGTATGTATGCACACATGCATGTATGTGTGTGGGGGTGTATTGGAATCTGAAGAGTAACAAGATGGGATGGCAAGGATGGCCTCCCTTAAGTAGCCTCCCTTGATCAACCCCCACTCCCACCCTCCTGGTGTAGATGTGGGGACATCTGAGGCTTCCTTAGTGTGGGGAAGGAGGAAGTCTGGGCTCTACTAGAGTAGGGGCAAGACAAGGTCAGGATCTTCACAGGGTCTTCTGCTTATCCATCCTACCTCAAACCTGGTGGGGAGGAGGTGATAGACCTTTGGCTTGGGGCCCTCAGCTGCCTGAGGTCAGGGAAGCCAGCTCTTCCCATCACTTAGCCTCATTCTCATTAACCTTGGAGCCCAAGCCTGCCCACTGCAAACTTTCAAACATCATGTCTGGCTAGCAGAGACATGCACTTGCTCGTACAAGTAGATAAAGTCAAGCTGCACTGGACATGCATGGCTCAGGTGCATACTGCCTGCACATGTACTGCATGTGTGGGCACACAAACAGTTGTTCACGTGCACCCCCCCCAAAAGATATACTCAGGTACTCACACAAGACTCCTTTCATGACTGTCCACATACAATGTATTGTGCCTGTGCTGGGTTAAAATTATAGCCCAGCTGGGCAGACTGAGTCTTATCACTTAACAGTGGGGTTCTAAGTGCAGCTATGGTCAGTCACCAGAGCTTGAGGAAGTTGGGTTACAGTAGGGGGGCAGGGGCTCTACTGGCCTGGCTCAGGTCCCTCAGGCTGACCAGGGTTTGGCATTGGAGATAGGGTCATGAGTGTGGAGGAGGGGCCCTGTCAGCTGCTACAGTCTGTTTGTGGCTGTTGCCACACAGGAGGAAGTGAGTGGGCTGTTTGCTTATGGGGCCAAGGTGCTCAGGGGTCAGTGAGGGGTCCTATTCTGTCCCTACAGTATCCATGCCTGGAGAGAGTAGAGTTGCTGAACCCTGGGGCCTGGCTAGCAGGACATTTTTTCTCCTGGGGTCCACTCTCCAAGGTCTGGGCCCAGGGGAGAAGTTCCAAGATGTTTCCAGAGGCTCACTTCCTCTGGGCTGCCCAGGAAGTGGTTTCAGAGTGGGACTGACCAGCTCTGCTTGTGGCTTGCCCCGCCCCAACTCTGCCTGTGAGGGGGGCAGCGTCTGGCCTATGGGCTAGGCCCGACTGACCAGGCTTTTCATACCAAGGCTGCCCAGGCTTGTCTGGGGCCCTGGTGGAAGGACTGGGGGCTCAGACCATAAAGTTTCTGGCAGCCCGACAACCCCAGCTCTTCCCTTGCTCTGAGCCTGTAAGCCAAGGAGCAGGAGCATTGCCTCTGATTGCCACAGCCCCTTGTGGGTGGCAATGTCTCTCCTATCTCAAAAATTAGGTAGCATCAAGTAGCTGTCTGAATAAATCTGGGCAAGTAGCTTTTATTCTCAGTACCTCGGTTTCCCTCTGACAAAATCATGGTAATACCTACTTTGAGTTTATTTGGGAAACCACAGATATGCATGCAAAGTAGCAGGAAATACAGGCATATAAAACACTTAGTGCCTGGCGCATATAGCTATTCAAAACCAGCAAGTGGTACTGACAATGTGCCATTATTATTGTCTGATGAGCTGGGGACTGGCCTGGTGTCACAGTGTCACTCAGCTGTGAAACCCAGCTGGGAAGTCAGGTCTCTCCATTCTGCCAATTCTGCTTCCACCAGCAATGTCAGGGCTTGGGGAGGCCTCTGCTGATTCAATGAGTCCCATGTCCTCTGGGGAAAGTGCTCTAGGGTAGAACAGCTGAACCCAGCCAGCAGCCCAGCCTGCTCCTTCTCTTGCCTCCCTCTCCCCAACTCCCTTTCAAAGTGAGAGAAATAGATCTCACAACAAATGAATACAGAGAAGGCAATGTGGCCCACAGCTGCGTGCTGCCTGCTTTGGGCTTGGAATAAGGGGGTGGGTGGTGAGCCCTTTTGCCAGGCTGTCTACCCTTAGGACCCCTGGAATCAGCTTTTAGATTGGGAAAGGGGGCAGGCATCTGGGACTGATGGGACCAGAATGTGGTAAATGTACACATCCATGCTGCATCCTTGATGCATGGCAGCTGGTGGTAGTAGTGGCCTGTGTAGCTCAGTGAGGACTGGGCTTAGCTTTGACCCTGTTTGGGACCAAGAAGCTGGTGTCTGAGAATGATAGTGATGGTGGTATAGCATACAGGCCCAGGAGGTTGGAAGGCTAGAGATCAATGGAAACCTGCCTGGGCTGAGTGTGAGGGACTACACCCTTCAGGGGCAGGACCTCTGCAAACATCAGATAGATCCTGGTTCAGTCCAGCAGGAGACTAGACTGCTCTTACCCTCTATTGCCTCATCTGTGAAATGGGCAGAGCAAGGATAGCTGTATGAATGACAGTAAGGAGCCACTGTGAAGGGTAGGGGTAGGTAGGGGACAGGAAGACAGAGCAGCAAACATAGGCTGTTGGGGAGGAGTTTGGCGGTCAGGGAAGTGAAAAGGGTCCTTGTGGTAGCTATCCAGATTAGGATCAGGGAGGTCAGGGCCACAGTTTGAAGGGCTTATCCCACTACATTGGGAAATGCTAGGGGCTGAGTCAGGGTGACAGGGCCTGCTTTACTGTCTTTAAAGTCTTAAAAGCCTTATGACTGTGGGAACTAGAGTAGGGCAGGGTGAGCAGTAGACAGGCAGGTGTCCAGCCTGGGCCCAGCAGTAGGGACCAGTTGGGGTAGGAGGTAGAGGTAGGAGACCTCAAGGCTGCTACAGAATCAGACTCAGGAGTGGGCTGTGTGCCAAAGGCATGCAAGCAGAAAACAGGCCCCAGGTGTCTGGCCTGATGACTCTGTGAGCACTCACAGATGAGGACACATGGAAAGAGGGTGCTGCTGTGGACAGATGTGGACATTTCTTGACTCATTTACATGGTAAGGTCAGAGAGGCATCTGGGTTTATGAGCCCACAGTGCAGAGTTCTGGTTCTAAAGTGAGACCCGAGAGTCTAAAGCCTGGGTTGGGGAGGAAAGAGTCTAGTAGGTTTTCTTTGTGCAAGCTTGAAAGACCCCAGACATAGGCTGGGACAGCTGACCCTCAAAGGTCCTGCCCAGGCATCAGGAGGGCAGGCTTGTGGTAGCTGAGCTGCTGTTTTCACAACAGCCTCGGAAGCTTTAGATCAGTCTATGGCTGTGTTGGGTAAACAGGCAAGTCATTAGGCTAAGGTTGTATCAGATGACTGTGGTGTATGTATACTGTGGGGCTGATGGGGGAGCATAGTAGGAGAATCTCTGTGGTCTTCCAGTGTTAGAGCCCTAGAAAGCTTAGGGGTCTAGATTATCAAGATAAGGAGGCTGTGAAACCCCCGAGGAGGCTGCTGATGGCCTGGGCTCTGCCCATGGATTCAGGCTGTATTGGTTTAGCTGAGATCCCAGAGCAGCAGGCAGCCTAGGACACCCCACAGCTGGGTTAATCTCATGGGAACAAGGACACCTGGAGATGGGCAATGAGGTAGGTGGGGGTGAGAGCCATGAGGATGTCAGGGGTGACAGCTTCTGTATATCCCCATGCTAGGTCCTGTGTTCAACATGGCATATGGGCAAAATCAGTCCCATATTACATACTGGGATGCCATAGAGGCTTGGCCATATTCTGAACTAGTCCTATCTGGCTCATTCAGGCCTGAGCTCACCAGCTCCTCTGTGGACTGCTTGTGATAGGAACTTCACACCTTATGGATGATCCTGCCTCTCCCAGCTTTCTCCAAGTCCTTAAGGTCTTTCCTTTGGGCACTACCCATCTTGTAGGTTATAGACAGGCAGCAAAAGGCCAAAGTGGCCATCTTGCCTTCTCCCAGACTCAAAACAGTTTACTGTGGTAACACACACATGCCACACAGCGAGAGAGAGAGAGAGAGAGAGAGAGAGAGAGAGAGAGAGAGAGAGTTTGAAGAAAACACGCGCGCAAAAGGGAGAGAGAGAGAGAGAGAGAGAGAGAGAGAGAGAGAGAGAGAGAGAGAGAGAGAGAGAGAGCGACAGAGACTAAGAAGGTGGGCTTGGGACCACCATCTGGGGTCTGACAGAGCAGTCATTCCTCCCCTCCCCCCCACACACCTGCAAACATACTCCCTCACCCTCTGAAAGCCAGATGGGAAGGTCTGAGAGTTGAATTGGAGACCGTGTCCTGCTCCTGGCCCCCACTGGCTTTGTGGCTTTGATTGAATTGCTCAATGTCTTCTGTAGTCTTCGGTCATCTTCTGTAGTGTGAACCTGGAACTTGTGGCAGTCGTGTGGGCTGCTCCCACCACAGATCTTATAGTCCTCCCCTCATGCGAAAGGAAGGGCTGTGGTGATAACCTGTGAGCCCCAGCCTCAGCTTAAGCCTGCTTCCCCTCAGGGCCCTGCAGGCAGTGGGCAGGCTGAGGCCTGCCTCAGGATGTGACTGACCAGCTTGTCCCTTCTCTTCTATACTTTAGACTTTGCTCTGAACCTCCTAAGGATGGAAACATATTCTGGCCTGGTTCCTTGCTATTGTTCCCATCCCCTCCTCGTCTCCCCAACCATTGTGCCCAAGGGTACTGTGGCAGGAAAATGTGTATTTGATGCCAGAACCTAATCAGGTATGCAAGGTCCTTCCAGACTCAAGTGTTCATCTCTTGGCCTGGAGTATGTCTTTTGACCATCTGTATAGTATGACTTATTGCACACCTCGTGTGTGTGCATGTGCGTGTGTGTATCCTGTATGACTGGGTGTGGTCTGTGTGGGCCTCACTCTGGGTTAATATGTGAAAGCTGCTATGGGTGAGTGAGAGGTATTCCTGTGTATGTCACCATGTCATCCTAGGGCTGTGTGTGCACCTCTGTGTGTCTACCTTTGAGGGAGGCTCCCTATGCCTAACTGTGTTTGGGTTAGTAGGTGTGCCTGTGTGTGCACATGTGTGTAGTTCTTGGAGAGGCACAGATGCCCACAACCCTGGTTCCTCACAGAGAACCCCTTGTGCTTTCAGGAGCTGGCTTCTGGCTTAGGCCATAAAGAGGCCCTTGTTTCTCCCTCAATAGGTACCTGGAACCTTCCCTCTGGCTGAGCCCCAGGCTCCGTGATCAGGGGGCCAGCTAGATGACCCCAGTTCTGTGTCTGATGTGGGGTATGCCTTTGAGGAGTTCCTGCCCATGTGTGTCGACACAGGGTGTGTGAACCAGTTGAAAGCTAGAGTCCCTAGTCCTGGCCCTCAGACTCTGTTAGACCCTCAGACAGGGTGGACTATGACACCCTGCAGACTGAAGACCCTCCAGCTACCCTAGCGGGCAGGCCTCTGTAGCCCCATTTCACCCCAGCCCTCTCACCCACCACTCTCGCTGCTTGAGCAAGGCCTGTTCTTCCTCCTTGGTAATCATGTACTTACCTGTCTCCTACCAGCCTGTTGTGTCTGTGGCACCAACTGGCCAAGACTGAGATGGACTGGGGGTGACCTGGGACTGAGATGACCTTTGGAGCCCCTAGCCCCCAACCTGTTTTGTGTAGAATCATGTCACCATATGTGTATTTTCTTGGAAGACAACCCCAGCTTTCACTGGATTCTTAGGCTAGCCCAACCCCCTGTGAAAAGGTATGACTGCCACCTGGGGTCCACTTCCCATGTTCATGGGCTGAGTTTGCGATTCTTTTTTTGTTGTTTTTGAGACAGGATCCCTCTGTAGCCTAGGCTAGCCTGGAATTTCCAATCCCATTTTTATTTCTTGAGTGCTGGGATTGCAGACCAGGGACCACCATGCCCTGCAACTAATTGAGTTCTTCATGTTTGAATTTTGTCGTGCTGAGGATGAAACCCAGGGTTTTGTATATGCCAGGCAAGGACTGAACCCTACCCTCTGCCCATAGCAGTGGAATTATTGATTAGCCATCTTGTAGCCAGCCAGAACTGAGAAGGCTGAGGTCCCTAGAGGCAAAGGGACACCCCCCCCCCGCGCCAACAAACAGAAGTCCTTATATACCCCCAAGTGGTGACAGTTACCAGCAAGGAAGCTGGTGCCTTCCTGGGGAGTGGGGAAAGATCCCCAGGGCTGGCTTTTGGAACTATCTGGAAGGCTATCTGAGAAGGCCATTCTGTCTGAGGGGGACAGCAGGTAGAGGTTTATGGCGGCTGGTAAGTGAGGCACCAAACAGCCAGAAGGGCTTGAGATAGAGGGCAGGATAGGACCAGGATGTTGGGGGTCTTAAATGCCAAACTAATGTCTCTGGTTTCTTCCAAGGGCAGGAAGAGCCCAGAAAGTTCCATGCTGTGGGAAGAGTCCCAGCTGGGAGGATTGCTGGGGTGGGGAGAGGGGTAAGGAGGAGCAGAGTACTGAGGAGTCTAAGGAGAATACATGGATAGTAGTTGGTCCCATGGGGTGAGGGAGTGGTGGGAGGAGAAGCCCTGGCAGGGGCATGAGCTGTCAATCCTATGGAAAGTATCCCTGCCCTAGGATCTGGCTGAGACCCGAGACCACGGGCTCTGGTGGAACTCTCCTCCCTTCTCCTCCTGCTCTTCCTGCTGAACCCATTTCCTGGGTTGTAAAATCCTGTGGCCTCCTTGACTTGGTTCTATCTGGAAAGTCCATCACAGAGGTCAGTCTCCCAACCAGATACTTCCTGCCTGCCTGCCTGCCAGCTCAGGCTGGTCTCTCTCCATGCCTGTCCTCCTATGTGTCACAACTTCAGGGCCAGCTTTACTCCCACCTGCTGGTTATACTACCTCTCACTCCATTCTGTCCCTTGATCTTCTCTCCTTCATTTGCCCACTCCCCAACCTATATGCCAGGCAGGCCTGCAGCCCCAAGAAGGCCCTACTTTGCTGCCACCTACATCTAGCCTTGCTTAGCAGCAGGTGTCACCTTCCTTCCATGGGCAGGCATCATGGCCACTCCAAGGGTAGGCAAGTGTGGGTGGTAGAGGACTGCAGGAGGTGGCATTGGGCATCCACTGCTCCCCAGGGGTCTGTTCCCCAGGAATGTTTTTAAGGAGCTAGACCCTCCCTTCATCTTTCTTTGATGTAGGCATGAGCTGCAACATTCATCAGGCCTGAATTTAAACCTTCCTATCACTTTCTTACTGACTATGTGACCTTGAGCAAGTCACTAACCTCTTTGAGCCTTGATTTCTTCATACAGAATATACTTACCTCCTAGAGCTACATTAGAACAAAGTGAGCTAATGTAATTACAAGGCTAATTTAACACATTATCATCTTAGAAAAGGACAGTCTCTAGGGAGTGGGTGAGCTGAGATTGACAGCTAGGCTGTTTGACTCTATGTCCAGTGCTCTCTGCCTATAGACAGATTGGAGGAGCAGGAGCATGGAGACTCAGAGCTCCTGACAGTGGGGAAAGGCCTACCTGGCTCCTTGTGGCATGCTATGAGGCTAGCCCCTGCCGTGCTGGGGCCTACAGAGTGGCGATAAACCTGGGGCTGAACCAGTGGCCTATTTGCATGGAGACTATAAATAGTGGGTACACCTTGCCTTTGTGTTTCTGCCTCACCCCCAACCTTCCCACATTGTTCAGACACAGAAGGTAGTAGGGCAAACACTCCGTTGCGCAGATAGGCACTGTAGACTAGAGAGGCCCAGGACCTCTCTCAGAGTCACACAGCTATGGAAGCATCTGCTAGCTCATGGTATAGTCTCCCTTCTGGGGTCTGAGTAGTCCAAATGAGAGCCAGGTGGGTAGGAGCCCAGCAAGGCCTTGCTTTTGTCCAGGAAACTGGGGGTAAGGTGATTTGAGCCCTGAATGACTGCTGGGTAGCCCCATGGCAACCCACAAAGACCACGGCTCCCCCGTTCTTGTGGCACTGTGGCCTTGTTGCAGGTTTAGGGCTGGGGCCCAGACCTGCTGTGGTTGTGGTTTTCCCTCCAGTGGCTAGTAACTGTGAGTTGCTCTGAGTGTGAGCTGAAGGACAGGCCTCAAGGGCAACCTGTGGGTCAGGGCAAAGAAGCTAGTCCCAGGCCTTGCCTCATCCTTCTGAGGCTTCTCTGACACATATCCTCCACATAGCTCCATAAGGCCAGGAACAGCTTCTGAGCAAGCAAAACGAAGGACCTGAGGGCAAGGCCAGACCCCAGCTGCTGGGAGGAGCTGGCAGTAGATGTGTGAAGTGCCCAGTAGCCCAGGATGAGTTGTCACATGGTCTTGCAGGCATGGTTCCCCTGTCTCAGAGGTGGGGACAGTAATCCAACTCTTCCCTGACTGGTGTGCACCTAGAAGAGACACAGTAAGATAACAGTGGACCAGAAAGTGGAGTGTATGATAAGTGGTTGCTGCAGGTAGTGGAGGTAGTATTGATAATAGGACACTCCCTAGTCCTGTCAGGTTGGTGTTGGCCCTTGTCCTAGTAGGCTTCTCATCAACATGACAACCCAAAGCCTAGGAGCAAGCCCTCATCTGGAACACAGGGTTGCAGAGACTTAGCCCAGATAGCCTGCAACACCCCATAGCCAAGACAGCATTGGTGTCAGGGCCTTATATCCAGCCAGCCTGTCCATCATTTGACCAAGTGGATGGCTCTGATCTCTTATCCCCTAGGAGCCCAGCTCCTGCTTTTTCTCTGCCCATTCAACCCTTGTCCCTGGAGGCACTTAGAAAGCTGTTTGCTCCCCCCACTGGTCTCTGGGTTATGGTTATCTTCTTGAGAGGCAGGAGGCTGAGCTGTGCCTGCTGTGATCTGACCCTGTGAGCACAGATCCAGAACAAGTGTGTGCTGTGAGGGGCCTTGCTTACTATTTCGGACACTGGGAGCATTCACTGGGGGGGGCGGGGGGGGGCTGATGCCTTGGGCTCCAGGATCCAAAGTACAAGGTGCCCTTTTTGCTCAGGGGTTTGTGATACCCACCCAAGACTCCTTCACATTCCCAAGGCTAGACCTGTGTAGACTGATTTTCACTCCACCATTTACTGACCTTCTACCATGTCATACCCACATGGCCTTAAGGTGCACACACTTCCGTGACGGCCTAAGTCATACTCTTGCAGACCCATCATGACCACATGTACCCTCAAGTCCACCACCACACAGGCTCATATGTGCTCCAGACCAGTGGGTAGAATCCACTGTAGCCTGCCACTGTCTCTCCCTCACTGCACTCTGAGTGATCATTACTGGTTCAGCACCCAGGAGTTGTTTGCCTGCTGGTTTCAGGCTAGAGACCTGGGGATATGAGTGCAGGTGGAGCTTGCACACCTGCTCTCACTTTTACTGAATGGGACCCAGACCTAGGCAGGTGACGTTGGGATCTGCCTCACTGGTCCCGTCTCTGCGCTGGCAGTGGGCCTCAGAGTGCAGGCCAGGCTGGCTGGGATGGGCTACAGGCTGAGGTCAGTGTTTCCTGTGAGCTCATCTGGGCTGAAACTCTGGGCAGACTTGGCTGCTGTTTTAGAACTGAAGAGAGCTGCTTTGGGTCAGGCAGCTTTGTGTGTGTGTGTGTGTGTGTGTGTGTGCAAGTGTAAGGGTGCTCTAGGTTAAGCTCAAGGTACAGCAGGTACTGGATGTACTCAGGAGTACAAGTGAGCATTTATCCTGCTGTGGTCACTGAGCACCTATGTGTAGGGCTGGGCTGGAAGCCAGCATGCATGTTGGAATATGAATGAACACATGTGTGTCCTCCACAAATGACCTCAGTCATCTCCTGTTGTGACTCTTGACTGTTTGGGCATTATGGAAGCCAAGTTGTGTGAATGTGCTTTGCACATTACAGTCAACACTAAAATACAGTTTTATATTTAAAGGAAAATATGAAACTCCACCCCCTTCCACATCTCCCACTATGTTCTTTCCACCTGCCCACCAGCCCGGGGAGAGTCCTGGTTAATACCCTCATTTTCAGTTTGAAAGGGCAGGAAACTGAGGCAGGCAGGAGGTATATGATCCTGAGGGGCTTAAATTCGGAAGATGAATAAAGTTCATCAATGGCAGTTGGTGGACCTCCAGCTTTCACTCCTGGCTCAGCCTGAGTCTCACTTTTCCCATCTGAAGAGTGGGGATCTTTGGTTGATGAAACAGGACTAATTTTGGCCACATTTGTTTACCTGGTGGTTATGAGCAAAATCAACAGAGGACCAAGAGGGGCTACATGAACCCAGTGGGAGAGGAGGGAAGCTGCTGGTACCGAATGGAGAGCCTAGCACATGCTAGTTCCCTGGAATGCATAGGTGTCCAGCAATTGGCCATGAGGAGGGCATTGGGTGACACCCCAAATGAATGTCTTAGGAATCACAGATTCAAATGCTTCCAGGGTCCAGTTCGGGAATGAAGACAGTGCCTTGGCCTGTGGTAGACAAAGAGGCAGCCATCCCAGTAGCTGTTGTCCAGTTGGTCTGGATTTCACATATTGTGGTCTTACAAAGGATACCCCAAGTCTAGACATACACAAGATTTAGCAGCTTTTCCCAATGAGGCCTGGGACTAGTGCATTTGGTGCACTATGTGGGTCAGTGTCAGTGGTATGAACCCAGTGGGGAGTGGGTACCAGACTATCCCTGGCAGCTGCCTCCACTGCCTCTGCCCTGCTGCCTGGTTCACCCTTCCATGTACACAGTCTTGTTGCAGGCCTCACCATGGCACCATTCCTACGCATCTCCTTCACTTCGTATGAACTGGGCTCCCTGCAAGCGGAGGATGAGGGAAGCCAGCCCTTTTGTGCCGTGAAGATGAAGGAGGCGCTCAGCACAGGTAGGCCTGAAGGCTAGTCCCTGGAGGGACATTGGACTTGGCATGGAGAGTGGGGCTTTCCTTCTTCCTTAGATCCTTCTCTTTCTTGTCTCCGTGAGCTGCCCAGCTGAGGACGCAGGAAAGCAGAGGCCACCCAGCAGATCCCTACAGGGCTTGACACTTGTTAAATTGAGCCTCTCACATCTTGGGTTTCCCCACAATTTCCACATGACTGTCTGGGCCAGGCCCTGAGCTGAACACTAGAATACTGTAGTGTTTCAGGACTGACCTGGCCCTCACTCATGCAGGGGAGCTAGACAGATGACGGGAGGTGGGTCCTATGCTGAGGAAGTCCAGGGGAGGGCTTATCCTAGCCTAGGGTCAGGGGGCCTTTTTGGAGGGGGCATGCCTCCCTCTGCTTCTTCACATTCTGCTTCCTGCTGGTTACTACCTGCTCACCTGTAAGATTCCAGTGGAGTGGTTGCTTCTTCCAAGAAGTCTTCTTCCAGGCTTAGAGAGGGTTAGGCCACTTGGTTGTAGGTGGTTTAGAACCACCAGTTTTGTCTTCTTTAATCCTGTCACAACTGGGACTTAGTGGTTACCTGAGGGTTGGATTGATTATATCTCTGCCTTGGACTTGAACACCAGAAGGGCAGGCCATGTTCCTTGCCTGCAGTATATGGGTGGCACATGGCAGCTCTCAGCATGTGTTACTGAGTGAATACAGAGAGCAGAATTAGGTGGAGCTGGAGCAAAAGGCTCACAGGAAAGGGAACTTAGAGGTTGGATCTACCAAGGCATCCTAAAGGCACTGTTGGCTATTGGGTGTCCAGTGGAATGCTGTGGAGTCATAGCAGACCCTCAGAGCTGGAGAGGAATAGATTGTATGGAGCTGAGGAGGTCTGGGAAAGGAAGGATTGGGGAGTCCTAGCCTGACTCTCGTCTGCCTCACTCTATTGCAGAGAGAGGCAAGACACTGGTGCAAAAGAAGCCCACCATGTATCCTGAGTGGAAGTCAACATTCGATGCCCACATCTATGAGGGCCGTGTCATCCAGATTGTGCTGATGCGGGCTGCTGAGGACCCAATGTCTGAGGTGACTGTGGGTGTGTCAGTTCTGGCCGAGCGCTGCAAGAAGAACAACGGCAAGGCTGAGTTCTGGGTGAGAGGCTTGTGAGTTGTGGTTGAGCATGTGCACGTGGGCTTGTGGGTTGGAGCTCAGTGAGTGAGCACTACTACAGGGACCAGTCACCAGCACAACTCTGTAGCTGCTGGGGCCTAGATCTGAATCCTGATCCTGCTTTTACCAGGTCCCCAGCCCCTCTGAGCCTCTGTCACTGCTTCCCTAAAAGGGAGGAAAAAGTCTCTACCTCAAGGTCCCTTGTCAAGTCAAATGAACACCAAATGTCCAGGGCTTATTGCAAGCTAGGTATGGTGGCCAAGGCCTGTAACCTCATCTGCTTGGGAGACTGAGGTAGAAGGATCACAAATTCAAGGCTTGCCTAGGCTCTAGAGTAAGTTCAAGGACAACCTGGGTAACTTAGTGCGACCCTATCTCAATATTTAAAAGTGTAAAAACGGAGTCAGTTTCAATCTCCAGCACCACAAAGTGGGGGTGTGGGGCTTATTATAGAACCTGACATATAGTAGGTGACAAAGCCATTTTGGTTACAGTAACTGCTTTCTTTCCCTCTACTTTTGAAATGGCAGGCTGTACACTCTAAAGTGGTGTTCTCCTGCCCCAACGCAGCGACTTCCTTCTCAGAGGCACCTGTTGTTCCTATTCTTTGGGGGATCTTTGAGGCTATTTCAGGTGTAGCCAGGCGTGGAACAACATCATAATTTTTAGCAGCAAGGAGGTAGAAGGGGAAAACTGGCAGCCTGCCCACTCACCTGCTGAAACAGGGACTCTGCACGTCTGTGCCATGGTGGCCTCTGGTTGTCAGTGCCAGCTGAATATGTGGGCTCCTGCAGCCAAAATGTCTCCCTAAAAAGGTCCAGTGACCATTGGAGCCCCTGGTCACCTTCCATTGAGGAGTGAAGGGGCACAGATGGGAGGAAGTGGCACAGAGCCTCGCACACTCTTAGCTAGTCAGGCAGGGGCACAGGAATCCTGGCTATGTGCTCTCTCCCAGGGAGACATCACTAGAGCTAAGTCTGTGGGAGGTGATGACTTAAGAGGCGTGGGCCCTGCCCTCTAGATTGTCTGGTCTGTGTGAGGAGCCTGTCCCAAAGTGCACATCATGGGTTCATTAAACATGATGTGTCCATTGTGTGATGTATGGGCACATGGAGGTGGGGGTGGTGGGAGTGGGGAGTTTCCCTCTCTGTTGCTTCTGGGGCCATGTGGCCTGGCTGGGTGTGGGCTGGATCCTTTCACTTCCCCAAATGTAATAATACCCTGGGTACAGGGTAGGGCAGGGCTTGGGCGGGGCCCTGCCCACCCTGGGTGTCTAGGCCAGGTCTAGGAGGCCCCTTGGCCTTGGGGGAGAGCCATGGGGGTTGGTTCTGAGTCTCACCTGGCCCAGGCTGCCCTCACTGACTTGCCATCCCCCTTTCTACCCACAGCTGGACTTACAGCCTCAGGCCAAGGTGTTGATGTCTGTACAGTACTTCCTAGAGGATGGGGGTAAGACCTCCACCTGGGCAGGGGCAGGCTTCTCTGCCAGGTCAGAGACAGCTTTCACTGAAGCCTAAGGAAGCAGCCAACCCTCATGGGGATATATCACTGCTACCTTGGGAGGGAGTTCAGGGGGGCTGCCCTTCCTGGACCCTGGGGCTGACTTCACCCCATGGCTCCCAGATTGCAAACAGTCTATGCGTAGTGAGGAGGAAGCCAAGTTCCCAACGATGAACCGACGTGGAGCCATCAAACAGGCCAAAATCCACTACATCAAGAACCATGAGTTCATTGCCACCTTCTTTGGGCAGCCCACCTTCTGCTCTGTGTGCAAAGAGTTTGTCTGGTGAGGGCTGGTGGCACCTGTTGAGGGTGGCCCAGAACGGGGGGGAAACCTGGAACTCCCCTCATTTACCCTACTGGGGCTTTGCCTTCCAGGGGCCTCAACAAGCAAGGCTACAAATGCAGGCGTAAGTCTTTCCATACCTATGTGTATGCATGTGTGTGTGCCAATGCTGTGTCTCCACGTCAGGATGGTATGACTGGACAAGGGCTCTGTGTATGTGTGTGTGTGCTTGTGTGTGCCATTATTGTATCTCTGGGTTGGGGTGGTGTGTCGGGACAAGGGCTCTGTGTACGAGAGCATGTATACTGGGTTGGCTTGCTGCACCTCTCCAGAGCCAGTTCTGTGCGTCCCTTCCCAGCTCTGTGCAGGTTGTCAAGTTAGCTACTGTTATAGAGATAGATACAGAAACTAGCCACAGCTACATAGGAGGGCTCTTCCTCCAAGGAAGGATCTGAGATCTTCACTAACACCCACCCCTGACTTTGTGTGCTTAGTGTGGATGCAGGTGTTTGTGGTGCACAGGTGTGAGCATGCCTTTCACCATGACAGGTGTGCGGGAGTCTCTACAGACTGAAGGTGTGAGCATGGCCTACTCTGCTACTTACTTTAGGGCCTTGGGCAAGTTCCTTAACCTCTCTGTGCCTTGTCCAGAAACTAGGAATAATAGATTCAAGGGTGAAGATCCATTGAAATAAAATATGTAAGCTATGTGTTGAGTGCTTTGCAGGTGGTCAGCATTCAGTGTAAGAACTCTATTGTCATGATCATGCATGCTTTGAAAGTATGCACAGGTGTCTTTGTATTGGGTGTGTCATGTGCATGTATGAGAGAATAGCTTAGCACCTATTTGCTGACCTGAAACACAGAAATGGGAAAGAGGGCCTGTCCTGCCCCTGCTTGGCATGCACTTTTACTTCTTCCCACCTGGAGTCCAGGAGCAAGCCTTCTCTAATTTCCACAACCCTTTAGATTGGCCATCTCTGGCCTCATGCTTTCTAGGCCCCTCCTGGAAGGGCTGGTAGGAGGAGCCTAGAGCTCTGGGCTGAGGGCTGTGTAGGGTAAGGATGTGGGTGGCCAGTGAAAAGGCTGGCTTTGTGTGGAGGGCTAGACTGGGCCAGCAGTGCCAGCTCAGACTCTGCCCCTTCTGGTGCTTCCCCTCCTCCTGGGCCTGTGCCTCTTCAAGAATGCAACGCTGCCATCCACAAGAAATGCATTGACAAGATCATCGGCCGGTGCACTGGCACTGCCACCAACAGTCGAGATACCATAGTGAGCTGGACCCAGGGTCTGGGGGTCTGGGGCTTGGTTGGTGGGAGAGCTCTGGGTGGCCCATTCTCTCTGTGGGGCTCACCCTTCCTCTCTTTTGCCTTTCTTTGTCTCTCGCCTGGGCTCATTGGGCTTCTAGATTTCCTAGACCTGGGGAGGGGGCAGCCCTCTTGGGAATCTGTTAATATATGGTTGGGGGAGAGCTAGGGGTTGTGAAAGAGGCTGGAACTGGCCTTTGACCACTGACCTATGAGTCCCTTCCTCTCCAGTTCCAGAAAGAACGCTTCAACATCGACATGCCACACCGATTCAAGGTTCACAACTACATGAGCCCTAACTTCTGTGACCACTGTGGCAGCTTACTCTGGGGACTCGTGAGGCAGGGGTTAAAGTGTGAAGGTATGTGCAACCCAGCTCCCAACTGCCCCCAAACCTCCTAACCCTAGCACCCCCATGCCACCTTCACCCCTTACCCTAAGACCTCTTATCCTGACCCTAAGGTCAAAGGACTCTCATCTGTCTGTCCCTCATTTGGGGAGGACCCTCCCTACTGACTGTGTTGTATGTCCACAAGACAAGGCTCCACCTCTCTGAGCTGCATTCTCAAGTGTAAAGTGGGGCTCACTGAAGGGCAAGAGAGTGGAAGTGCTTAACCCAGGCTTGCTGTGCACTTCAGGCCCTGCTTCCAGACCTTTCTTATGCCAGGCTTTCCTTCAAAACCTCAAGGCTCTAAAGAAAGCTGTCTCCCACTTGTCCCAGATGATTGTTAGGGTTTACAGCTAGCACCCATGCCTTATTTTTCTTTTCTTTTCAAGATGGGGTCGTACTGTGTAACCCTGGCTAGCCTAGAACTCATTATATAGACCAGGCTGGTCTTGAACTCTTAGAAATCTGCCTGCCAATGCTGAGATTAAAGGCGTGCGACACCACATCTGCCTGGCCTGGCCTTACTTTTCCCTTCCTTTTTCCTTTCTTTTTCTTTCTTTGACTATCTGTCCATCTTTTTAAGACAAGTTCTCATACTGTAGCCCAGGCTGACCTCAAACTCACATCAGTCCTGCCTCAGCCACTCAAGAACTGGGATTACAGGTATGAGCCCCCATACCTGCTATTTTCTTTTTTCTTTTTTCTTTTTTTTTTTTCTTTTTGAGACAGGGTATCCCAGCTGTCCTGGAACTCACTATGTATACCAGGCTGGCCTTGAACTCACAAAGATCCACCTGCCTCTGCCTCCCAAGTGCTGGGATTAAAGGTGTATGCCGCCATGCCCGGCATTTTTCTTTATTTAAATAATGAAATATTTAAAATGCTCATAATGGTCAGATTTTTAACCCCAAGGAAGCCCAGCGGTCCTTCAACGTCTTCCTGTCCCCCACTCCCTCCCACTCTACTCCTTGCCCATTTCTGAGGTCTGACGCTGGTGGCCCTGCTTCTCCCTCTCCCAGATTGTGGCATGAATGTGCACCACAAATGCCGGGAGAAGGTGGCCAACCTATGCGGCATCAACCAGAAGCTCTTGGCTGAGGCCTTGAACCAAGTGAGCCAGGTAGGCAGGGGCTGTAGGACCTAAACATGGGGCAGTGGAGGAAGGATGTGTCAGGGCTCACAGTGTTCCTGGAGAGCTCCAGCAGGGGACCTTGTACACAGAGCCCATTTCTGGAAAACCATTGATGAATTTAGGCAGCAGCGAGAGGTGGGGAGAAACTTATCATTCAAGCAGTTCTTTACCTGAGGGGAAATAGGGACTATAGGGTTGAATGTTGGGATACTTTGAACTAAGACGAGGTATGTGTGTGGTGTGTGTTGTGTGTATATGGCATGTGTATGTGTGTGGTATATATTGTATATGTGTTGTATGGGTGTTGGGTGTGATGTTCATATGGTATGTAGTGTCTGTGCCCAGTTTGTGGTATGTAGGAATGTGAGGTATATGGTATGTGGCACATATGTTGGTGTATGCACATTTGTGGTACATGCATGTGTGTGGTATATGAGTTTGGTAGTGTGTGTAGTATGTGTACATGTTGTGTGTGTGCATAGTGTGTGTGGTATGTATATGTAAAGTGCCACGATGTGTGTGGTGTATAAGAAAGGGGTTCTCATGGTGTGTATGGGTGTGTGTTTAGGTATGACTGGGGCTGAAAGGATGACACAAAACTTCAGAGTAAAATTCTAGAATCAGAAATGAAATCAGTAGCCGGAGATGTTTTAGCAGGTGAAGGCATTTACCACACAAACCTGACAGCCTAAGTTCAATCCTGGGAACCCACATAGAGAAAGGAAAGAACCAAATCCCACAAGTTGTCCTCTGACCTCCACACGTACCATGTTATGTGTACATGCATACACATAAACACACAAAGAAATGTAAAAAAATTTTTTAAAAAGAATTAAAAGTTTATTAAATGTTTAAAAAAATGTGCAGTTCAGTTTACAAAATTTCTGCCTATAATCTGTGCCTTTCATATTGTAAGGGGCAGGGAAAGGGAGGGATGAGGCCTGGACATCTGCCTCTGCTGTCACCATTGGTATTGATGGGGGTATTGTGGTTGGGGTGCTCTTCCTGGGCTGGGAGTTCTGATAATGGTCTGACCTTCTGACCGCCTCCTTCTGCCCTTTCCTAGAGATCCTTGCGGAAGCCGGACTCAGGAACATCAGAAAGTGTTGGAATATACCAGGGATTTGAGAAGAAGCCAGGAGTCACTGGGGATGATGCCCCAGGTGAAGCTGAGTCAAATCCTCCCCCTATTAAAGCTTCCATTCACAAACTTGTCTCAGAAAGGGGCCAGTGTTCCTTGCTGAGTGAGTCCTGGGATGAGGTACTGTCCTTGGGAAACAGGCCCGTTCCTCTCCAAGGCCCCTTCCCTGTCCCACCCTTGGGACTCCAGTGAGTCCCTCCCACTGACCAGTAAGTTCTGAGAAGAGGTACCACCTGTGGGCACTGAGCCCTCTTCCTCTCTCCTCTTTGAGGCCTCTTGCCTGGGGAGGAAGTAGACTGAGACCTTAGTCATGCCATCTCTCCAACAGACAACAATGGGACCTATGGCAAGATCTGGGAGGGCAGCACCCGGTGCAACATTGAGAACTTCACGTTCCACAAAGTGCTGGGCAAAGGCAGCTTTGGCAAGGTGAGGGCAGCTGGAGGACCAGGGCCTAGGAGCCCAGGGTACCTGCTTCTGCCGCTTCCTGTTGGGCACCAGAGGCTAGGTGCCAGGGGCCTCCAGGACCTTTACTCAGCATCTTGCTCATTGGTAGGTGCTGCTTGCAGAGCTGAAGGGCAAAGAACAGTTCTTCGCGGTCAAGTACCTCAAGAAGGACGTGGTATTGATTGATGACGATGTGGAGTGTACCATGGTGGAGAAGCGGGTGCTGGTGCTCGCCTGGGAGAATCCCTTTCTCACTCACCTCATTTGTACCTTCCAGACCAAGGTCTCTGTCTTCCCTGTCATTGCCCATGCTTCATCCCCATTATCCTCCCTGAGGTGGGGCTGTGTCTACCCAGTTACAGCTCCCAAAGCTAAGTTATCACCCTCAGCCCAGGTCCTGTGCCCTCTGTTTCCTGTTGGGGTGCCATGGTTTTTTTTGTAAGGGTGCCTCTCACCTGTCCTACATCGGCTCACTCCATGCCCCACCCCAGGACCACCTGTTCTTCGTGATGGAGTTCCTCAATGGGGGTGACCTGATGTACCACATCCAGGATAAAGGACGCTTCGAACTCTACCGGGCTACGTATGTGAGAGCCTTTCATGAGGAGAGGGACTTCAACTGAGTATACTGCTGGTCTGCCCTCCATCCCTTCTTCCCTCCCCTGGAAAAGCCCAGCCAAGCTAGAACTGGCATTGGGGAGACCTGGGACTCACCGCGTGGGCATGTGGGAAGCCACGGGTAGTGAGTCAGGTCTGGCTGAGGGAACAGTAACAGGCACTCTGGGTCCTATCCTCTCCTCTGGCCTCAGGCAGAACAGAAGAGTAGACAGTAGTCTGAGCCTGTACAACATAAGAGCCTGGTGTGTGGCCCCTAGATTACCATGGTAATGCCTTCAGATACTTGAATACCCCTAAAGTAGCTATATGTATGTCTAGGTAAAGCCTCTCTTTTGATTCATTTGCTCATTGAGGGCTTTCACTTCAAAATTTTCTGCCTGGGCTGCCAGCCCCAACTTGCCTAGTACAAGATGTGCCTGATTGGGCCCAGGTTATCAGTGGAGTTATTTGCAGTATTTCCTGCCCTGGGGTGGGGTGATGGGACCGATGGATAAAAATCCTGGAACACTGTCTCTCGCTCAGGTTTTACGCGGCTGAAATAATCTGTGGGCTACAGTTTCTACACAGCAAAGGCGTCATTTATAGGTACGGGTACTGGGGCCATGGGGCACTTCTGGGAAGAGTGGTACTTAGCCTGGTCATAGCTCCAGCATTGCTTAGAGTGAGCCTCTAGCTGAATATCTACCTAAACTCTAACTAGTTCTAGTGCAAGAATTCATATGTCTCCCTCAGCCAAGGCTGATGTAGCTCCAGGACTTGGGAACTCACTGACCATACTCAGTGCTGTTAGCTGGAAAGGCAGCACTGGCAGGTACAGGGCCTTTCTGCCTTAAAGACTCATCATTCTCACTCCCAAGCCTCACCTAAGCAATCTAAGCTTTCATCAGTACAAATTGGTACCATAAATAGTCATCCAGTACATTAGGATCCCATGCTGTGGTGCCATGCCATATACTCATCAAAAAGGCTGTACCCTGTGTCTTCATGTGGGAGGACACTTAGCTATATTGTCAAGTAGAAATCAACGTATGAGCCCAAGTGTAGTGTAGTTTCATACCTCTGTAATCCTAGCACTTAGGAGACTGAGATAGTCGGATCAGGAATTCAATATCAGCTATATATTGAGACTGTATCTCAAAAGAGCGGAAGGAAGGGAAGGAAGAAAGGAAGGAAGGGAGGGAGGGAAGGAGGGAAGGAAGGGAAGGAAGGGAGGAGGGAAGGAAGGAAGGAAACCAATCCATGAGGCAGTATATATAAAATTCTGGCATACCCGTTTTTTTTTTTAATTTGTTATTTTTTATGTGTATGAGTGTTTTGCCTGTATGTATGTATGTAAGTGCACCTGTGTTATACAGTGCCCATAGGGGCCAGAAGAGAGCATCCAATCCCTTGGAACTGAAGTTAAGGATAGTTGTTAGCCATCACATGTGTGCTGGGCACCAAACCCAGGTCCAGCCAGTGCTCTTAACCATTGAGCCATCTCTCCAGCCATTCGAGTTTTAAAAGGTGAGAGCGAGGTGCTGGAGCAATGACTCAGAAGACCCAAGTTTGGTTCCCAGCCCACCCATGTTGGGTGGCTCATATCCACCTATAGCTCCAGCTCCAAGGGAATCTGATGCCATTTTCAGGCCTCTGGGAGTGCCTGCGTGCATGCATGTACACATACACAGACACATACATATAAATAAAAAAATAATTAGAAGTAAATAGTATTAAAAGGTAGGAGTGAGATATGTATTCCCTGTTGCCTTGTCCATGGCTAGAATCACTGGGAGCTGTCTAGTGATTGAGCTTAGTGGAGATAAACCTTGTACTGTTTGCTTATTTCTATTACTTGTTCCCATGTGCAGAAGTTATCAGACGACTAATGCCCTTGTGGAGTCTGACAGACCTGAGATGGGGAGAAGGGAGCTCACGGCTGCTACCAAGCTAGCTAGCTGAGAAAGCAAGCGATGTCAGTTCTTCTGATCTTCCTTTTACGCTTCAGGGAGTAGGCTGTTGTGTATCCAGCCAGCACAGCAGGTTGCTCTCAGGAAGTGCCTGTTTGGCTCCCTGTGCTCCCTTTTCTCTCCTACATTTCCATATGCTCTGAGGGAAAGTCCTGGACTTGCAGGGCTGAAAGCCAGCAGTGGCAGCAAGGCTAGGGGACCAGACCTGGCTCCTGATGATGTTCTGTCCTATCCTCTCCTCAGGGATCTGAAGCTGGACAATGTGATGCTGGACCAAGATGGCCACATCAAGATAGCTGATTTCGGGATGTGCAAAGAGAACGTATTTGGGGAGAGCCGGGCCAGCACTTTTTGTGGCACTCCTGACTACATTGCCCCTGAGGTGAGCAGGTGCCTCTGAGCCTGACCCAGCTATGCACTGAGCCTTGACAAGGTGGGGCTACTGAGGCTGAAGAGGCCTGCTATCCTGCCCTGACTACTGCTCTCCCCAGATCCTGCAGGGCCTGAAGTATACATTCTCTGTGGACTGGTGGTCCTTTGGGGTCCTCCTCTATGAGATGCTCATTGGCCAGTCCCCCTTCCACGGTGATGATGAGGATGAACTCTTTGAGTCCATCCAGGTGGATACGCCACATTATCCTCGCTGGATCACTAAGGAGTCCAAGGACATCATGGAGAAGGTGGGGCCTGGCTGATGCCTGAATACAGGGCTGCTGCCACCCTGGGCCTGCATGCCCTTTCCTTGTGTTCCCAGGATCTCCAGTCTGAGTCCCCGGCATAAATGTACAGGGCGTGGTGACTAAGGGCTCAGGGTCAGGATACAGACAGACCTGAGGCCAAGTCCTGGCTCTGCCTGTGACTAGCTGGTGACCATGGGTGGGTCACTTTAACCTCATCTCTGAGTCTATTTCCTTATCTGCAAACTGCCTCAGAGTTGCTAAAAGCCTGGGCAGATAGTGTTAGTAAACAGCACAGCTTTCTATTCTGAAAAACCCCCTCAGCCTCAGAGCTGCCTGGGTTGAGCCTGGCCTGTCTTGGAACCCTTGGGCCTGTTAGCAATTTGCTGAAGCTCCCATTTTAAATGGCCTTGAGTCCTAACTAAGGCCCCTGTGGATTGCAGCTGTTCGAGAGGGAGCCAGTCAAGAGACTGGGAATGACAGGAAACATCAGGGCTCACCCCTTCTTCAAGACCATCAACTGGCCCCTGCTGGAGAATCGGAAGGTGGAGCCACCCTTCAAGCCCAAAGTGGTATGTCATCCCACCCCTGCTCCAGGACAGGTTCCTCCTTTGCTCATTCCTGCATCATTCACACACTCCCCTCCTTTCCTTTCTTCCAGCAAGCTTGCTTCCTGATTTCCCCTGGCTGCATCACAGCCTCTGCTCTTATATCCTTGTCCTTTCCTCACCCAGCTACTCACTGCACATTTAGAACTGTGGGTTGAAGGTCTTGCGCTGGCTCAGTGGTAGAGTGATTACTTAACAGGGACAAGACCCTGCGTTTGCATCATCATCGTCATCATCATCATCTAGGCATGGTAGCACACACCTGTAATCCCAGCACTTGGGAGGCAGAAGCTGGAGGGTCACCACAAGTTTGAGGCCAACCTGGTTTTCATAATGAATTCTAGGCCGACCAGGGCTATATAGTAAGGACCAGTCACTAAAACAAAACAAAAAAGTAAGGCCTTATGTGGTGGTACATGCCTTTAATCTCCAGCACTTTGGAGGCAGAGGCAGGTAGATCTCTGTGAATTCAAGGACAGCCTGGTTCTATAATGACATAACAAGTTCCAGGCCAGCCAAGGCTACACAGTACAACCCTGTGGTACAACCGGGTGTGGTGGTGCATGCCTGTAGTCCCAGCACTTGGGAGGCATAGGCAGGCAGATCTCTGTGAGTTTAAGGCCAGCCTGGTCTACATAATGAGTTCCAGGACAGCTGGGGCTACAGGGAGACCAAAAAGACCAAAAAAAAAAAAAAAACCAAAAAAACAAAAAAACAACAACAACAAAAAACGAAAAACAAAAATAGTGCCTGCACTTTAGGGGTGGTGGGTGGGAACGAGGGACAGGGGATGACTGAAGGATTATAGTGAGTCTAGGCCAGCCAGAGGTACATAGCAAAATCTTGTCTAAAACAAAACACAGAGATAGACAGGATTTCACTATGTTGCCCAGTATGGCCCAGAACTCCTGAACTCAAGCTATATTCCTACTTTAACCTCTTGGGAAACAGACTACAGATGCATACCACCATGCCTGTTGTCAGTTACCTTTTCCCATATATTCTTTAGCACTGTATGAGCAGGGAACTATGCTTCAGACACCAGAGTTAGGACTTCACTTCCACCTTCCTTCCATCTATCTATCCATTGATCCCATCCATCTTCCAATAAATATTGGGCATGCTGAGCTTTGTTGGGTGCAGAGCACTGTGCTGGACTTTGACGATGTGGGAAAATACCCTGGAGCTGGGGGAGTCCAAATAAGACTTTTGTACACTGATGATAGTCTTTGATAGAGGGCAATGATACTAGACACATCACAGGCCACAGGATCTGTTGCTATTGGGACAATCTGTTGATCAGTGTCTGAAATGCAGGGAACAGGGTGGTCTGAGAGGCTGCCTTGGAAGGAGTGGTATGTAATAGGGGCTTGTGACATGAGGCCAACAGAAGGCAGCTGGGGTTGTGATGATTTGCACCAGGGCCCAGAATCCTCAGAGGCCACTGGGACTGGTATGAGAGCAAAGGTGGATTGGATCATTAAGAAGTTGGGGCTCACTGGGTGTGATGGTGTACACTTGTAATCCCAACACTCAGGTAGAGGTAGAAGGTCCTCAAGTTCAAGAGCAGCCCAGGCTACATAGCAAGAATCCATCTTTAAAAAAGAAGTTAGGACGCACTGTCCCTTCTGTGATTGCAGTTCCTGCTCTGACTGCCATTTTCTACTTGCTTCCTGTCCTCTGCCAGGACATCCTGTTCCCACTGGGCCACCTCTGTAACATACCCCACATTTGTGCTTTGGGACTGCAGGACACTTCCCCTTGTGGAGCCACATTCAGAAGCCCTCTGAGTGGGGTCAGCTGACAGGCTGACCCAAATGTAAGAGCAGTACCTGTTCTCAGGTACCTGCTGCTGAGAGAGCTTTCCTTTTCCTCCGCACTGTGCCACTCAGCAAGTGTGGTGACCAGTAGTCTCTGCCACCTGGGGCAGGGTAGATGTGGCAAGGAATGCAGGAGGCTCTCAACACCAAGAGTGGACCTACCAAGAAGTGGGCCCAAGGACTCTGATGTAGCTCAGTAGGAGAGTGCTCACCTAGCATATCAGAGTTCCCCAATGTCCTCCCCAAATGGAGGTAAAGATAAAAGACCAAAGCCAGACATGATACCACACACCTGTTAGTCTCAGCCTTGGGAGGTGGAGGCAGGAGGATCAGGGGTTCAAGGCCAGCCTCAGTTGCATAAGATTCTGTCCCAAAAAAAAGCAAAAACAGTAAAAACCAGGTTCTAGTCCTTTGCCATCAAATTTTTAGTCACAGAGCAAGGCCTGATTTCTCTGAACTTGTTTCTCTGCAAATGGGATGGTCGTACTTAGCCTTTCGGACATGGTGGAGGATGAGATGAAAGAAGGAAGTAAAGCCCAGGGCTGATCTAATCTGCCAGTTTTCAAAAGAAGCCAGAACTCTGAATTTCCATGTTACAAATTACATTCCGAATTGCCCCCAAACCCAGCACTGAGGGTGGAGGAGTAGCTCAGTGGCAGAGTACTTGCGTAGAACGCACAAGGCCCTGAACTGGATTCCCAACTTAAAAAACAAAACCAATGCTAGCCTAGATCCTTGTATGTTCCAGCACAGTTTGGCCTTAGGGCCACCGGAGACCTGTTACCCTCTTATCTAGTCCTCAGGAGCAGAGAATTAGGAATTTTTCCTGTGAACATCCTGAGAGTAAATATTTGGAGCTTTGCAGGCTGGGCGATGTCATCACAGCCATGCTGAGTGTGTCAACAAGTGAGCATGATTGTACAGCCATAAAACTTCCTGTGGAACATGAATTTGAATTTCATTTTATTTTCATATACTATCAGATATTCTTTTGATTGATTTTTTTTTTCCCCAACCATTTTAAATCGTAGAAGCCAGTGCTGAGCATGGTGGTGCTTGTGCATAATTCCAGCACTTGGGAGGCTAAGGCAGGAAGATCATGAATTTGTAGACAGCCTGGGGCTGGAGAGATGGCTCAGCTGTTAAGAACACTGACTGCTCTTGCAGAGGACCTGGGTCCAGTTTCCTGCACCCACATGGAGGCTCACAACCACCTGCAACTCCAGTTCAAGGGGCGCCAACATCCTTGAGGCACACACATGGTGCACATACATACATTCAGGCAAATACTCATACATATTAAAAACAAGACAACAACAACAACAAAACTCCACACCAAAACAAAAAGAAAAAGCTATTTTTAAGCTTATAGGCCCCACAAAAACAGGGAGCCAGGCGTACAGACTGTGGTTCACAGGCCCCTGCTCCAGAGGATGTCCCTTGTCTTTACCCAGTACCCAGTACTCTCTGCCTGCCTTCCTCATCCTTTGTGGAAATAGTATCTCCCTATGGTGGGACTGCCCTGAGGCTGCCAGTGACACCCCTTTCCTGATTGGAGTAGACTCCCCTTAGCTTGCCCTGGCCCAGTCTGACAGGGACCCCAGGCCCGGGTGCCTCCCATGCCTTTGAAAAGTTCAGAGGAACCCCTGCGGTCACATTCATCCACTGCTGCCCTGTGCTTACAGAAATCCCCTTCAGACTTCAGCAATTTTGACCAAGAGTTCCTGAGTGAGAAGCCCCGCCTTTCCTACAGCGACAAGAACCTCATTGACTCTATGGACCAGACTGCCTTTGCTGGCTTCTCCTTCATGAATCCCAAATTTGAGCAACTCCTGGACAAGTGAGCTCCCAGACCTTCTCTACAAGCCCCAGCAGAGCAGGCCAGTCTGCCCTGGTCTGCATCCGTGCTGCCCACAGTGAACAGCGGGTGACTGGTTGATTGCTGCTTCTCCCTCTTCGTCCCCAGAGGGCTTGGCTTCTTCTAGCTGGGTTCACGGTACTTCCTCTGTGAACTGTGTGTGAATTTGCTTTCCCTCTGCCTTCAGAGAGAAATTGTAAATTCGGTATTTCATTACTTGAATGTAGGTATTGAAAATACATATATTATATATATATATATATGCACGTATATATAATAGGCTGTATATATTGCTCAGTATGGAAAGCATGGAGGGGACTGCTGATGTGTTGACCTTTTTAAATATATGTATGACCAAAAGAAAAAAAAGGGCACAAGCTGTTTGAACTACCAGGTTCTTTTATGTGTGTCTAAATAAACACTGAATGGTACCAACCTAGCTGTGGGGACACTTCTGTCCCAGAAACCTGGGGGCAGGTGCTCCTGCCACTGCTGCAGATGCCGACTCCTGGGTCCTCATGCAAATGTGTTTGTATTTAAGGGTTTCCTCTGGCCCCAGGGCCCAGGGCCCGGCCCAAAGCACAGCCTTTCCTGGGTGGCTACAGGAACCCCAGATGTCTCTGTGTGATGGGAGGAGGTGGGAGTAACTGCAGTCTCTCTGGATAGACAGCCAGCCCGGAAATTTAGAGATGTGGAAAGCCTGATCTGAAAGTGTGAACAGAAGCTTAAAGGTAGGGGTGTGGCTCAGTGCTAGAGTGCTTGCCTAGCATACATAAAGCTCTGGATTCCATCCCCAGCACCATCCCTGTGCGGGCACACACACACACACATACACACACACACACACATACCACCTAGCTGCCAGTCAGAAGTTAAAAGTAAATAAATGCAAATTTTTAAAAGGGTGTGGGGGTTGTAGCTCTGTTGGAGTGGAGTGTCTGCCTAGCATACATGGAGCTCTGTCCTCAGCAGTGGATAAACCTGGCACTTGGGAATTGGAGGCAAGAGGATCATCCTTAGCTACACAGCAAGCTCAAGGCCAGTCTGGCCTGTTTAAGGTTCTGTCTCTAGTAATAATAATAGCAATAATAATAATATAATTTTTAAAAGGCTTACATGCTGGCCCCAGACTAAGCAGGACAACCAGAAGGAGGAAGGAAATAATAGAACTCATCTTTCAGGTATATCTGGGACCAAATCCCAAAGTATCTAGCAAAAAAAGGGCATGCCCCTTGATCATTTAAGCTTTAAGATCCTCATCAGTAAAATGGGAGGCGACAGCTGTAACTCACCTCATTATTTTTTACCTTCATTCTTGCTGAGAAGAGTCTGCATCTCAGTTCTAGAATCATTTCCTGGAGCCTTGCCTACCTAGGGAAGAGAGGGGCAGGATGGGAGAGGAAGGAGAAACTGTGTAGCACCTGGGCAGAGTTGGAAGGCACGCTCCAGGGCTCAGGCAGGGAACCCGGCCCCAAGACAGAGCAGAGCAGCAGCCTGAGAGCTGGCAGGGTTCTGCAGTGCAGACTTTCTGGCTGGTGTCTCTCACACCTTGAGCTTACCACTCTGCCACTTCTATTTAGTCTTTCTCCTCTGTGTACCTCCCTCTGTTCCTGCCTGCTGCCTCGGTCACAGGTCTCAGGCTAGACCCTCCCTTGGCCCCTCCAGTCCAGCCCCTGGGGCCCAACTGGCCCTTTGTCCTGGAGGTAGGCAAGGTGGTTCCTGGTACCTGATTGGCTGGTCTAGTAGCCAAGCAGTTGACTGCCAGCAGTTCATTCTTCTGGGCTGAGGTAGAAATTTCCACAGTCTGGGAAGGCAGGACAGGCTGGAACTGGCCAGAGCAGGGGGCTGTAGAGATGGAAGAGCAGCTCCCTCCTTTCTCTACCCTCCAGCCTCTGGAAACCCTCCTGTCTCCTGCTGTTCCTGTGCTGGACCAACCAGGACACCCAGGACAGTGACACCCATCCCCTTGAACTCACGGGCTGTGTGATATGGGCTATGCTGGGGAACTCTCCAATTATGGAAGCCCAGAGAAGGTGCCTAGGGTCCCCAATCTCTTGACTGCCATAACATGCACAGGTCCTGCAGAAGCTCTGTGGGGCCATGGGAAGTGACTTGAGCACAGAAGATAGGGGTGGTGTTTACATTGGGTCCTCCCATCATCTTGCAGCTCTAAGGCAGAACCTTGTACACAGTGCCTTGCATGCCGAGATGGGTTTCCTCACCCTGTGGAAGGGAGGAATAAAGTTTATCAGTTCAGGCAGTGAGGAGTGATGAGAACATGGTGTCTGGAAGCAGAAGTCTTGAGTTCCACTCTGCTACCCACACATTGGGTCACCTGGATCAGATCCCTCGTCAGTCCTGATTCCTCACCTATAGAATGGGACCACTAATCCCTGCTTGCCTTCAGGAGCAGCTGGCTGGAATGGAGGTTGGGGGATGGATGAATGTGCTGATGCCCTGTGCTATGGACTAGGCCTAGGGGGTCTGCCTTAGGAAGCCTGATTCTCTATGGGAGGCAGTTGTCAGGGACATTGCCTGACTTCCTGGAAAGCCACAGGACTCTAGACCTGTTCCCAGCTTTTGGGTAGGTGCCAGGCCTGGCCCAGCAACCTCAGGAAATGCCTCTTGTGCTGGGCTCAAAGCCACACTTTCACTAACATCTAGGGGCCCAGAAGCAGACAAACTGCCACCCTCCCCTTGCCAAGTGGGTGTACAAGCAGCATCAAGCTCAGCTCTCACTGTAAAGGCCAGATAGAGCAAGCACCCTACTCAATGCAGGCAGAGGAACACAGGTGCAGCAGAACTGGGGGGCAGGAGCACAGTCCCTGTGGTTAAATTGCCCTGGGTTCAAATTCTGAATGTCCTAGTGACCTCAGCAAAGGACTTAGTCTCCCAGAATCCCACTTCCATTTCTTCTACTGGAAAGTGGGGCTGCTGTTGATACATGGTATTGATATCACGATACTGCTGTTAGCTATGATGACTACAATGGTGTTTGTATATGTGTAATGTGGGCTCCGCACACAGAGGGTGCTTAGTAAAAAACAGCCACTGTGACCCCACTCAATGCTCAGGACAGTGGCCTGTCCGCTCCACACTGGACTCCTAGGAGCTTCTGACTGACTACAGGTAGGCAACTAATATGCACCCACTCAGTGACCCAGTGATCCCTCTTTAGGCAGAACTACCCAAGAACTTCACCTGCAGACTTGCCAGGATGCCAACCTCTGCATGGGTTAATTGGAAGAAACTGGAAGCAAGCAGAAGTCTCAGCATTTGGGGAACTATTTAAATATTTTCTTGACATGGAAAGTGGGTACAGAGCCAAGAGGTTTGCAGTAAGAGCTCAGGAGAGAGCCAATGGTTCAGTGTGACTCCACCCAGTGCTCCCCTATCCTCCCGAGGACACTCGAGTCTGGGAGCACAAGGCAGAGCTACAGAAAGGAAAGGTGTGAGTGAGTGAGTGAGTGAGTGAACGAGTGAGCGAGTGAATGGATGGGTGGATCGTCTAGACTCTGTCCATCAGGCAGTGACTCTTGAATTCAGGTTTCATTGGCAGTGCATACTGATAAAAGGCACATGTCAGTCATGCCAAGTTCTGACCAGGGGTCTCAAGCCCTTGCTAAAACATGGTAACCCAATGCCCAGGTTGATCAGGTCTAATTGAATGCTGATCATGGAAGAGGTCCAGGCATCAGTATTTTGAAAGGTCTATTGGGGCCCCGGGTGCATCAGGATGGAGAGCCAGTTAGGCAAGGTGGGAGAATCTACATATTGCCCAGTGATGCTGGGAAATGCTGTCAGAACTGGTCACGCCTTAGAAAGCGAAATCACCTGCCAGCATAATCCAGCCCTTGTGTGGGGGAGGCCTGAATCTGGCTCCTGGAGGGCTGCCCTGTGCACAGAACACAGGCAGAAAGGTTGGTGGATCTGGAAGCCTCTGCCTGGCTGGGCTATATCGTCCTCTGGTGGCATCCACCTGACCAGACACTGCAGACCAGGAAAGCTGGACTTCCACCAAGCTTCCTACAGGGACCATGCTGAATGGAGCTTCCTCATCTCATACCCTTGGTCCCTGGCTGCTGGAGAACTATTTTGTAGAGAACCAGAGATGTGGAGGCAATAGCTTTCTTTGCATAAGAAGTTCTCTGGTTTGCCCGAGAATGAGAATGGCATTCATCCTGAAGTGGTAGCGGTAGCCACATTCCCTAGTGCATTCTTTATTGAGGTGCGAATAACTGACATGAACTGGAAGTTCCCCATTTTCAATGAGTTCTAATAAGAGCAAATAAGGGTGCATTCAGCATTTGCAAGTCAGGGAGGGGCTCGGAAGTTTCCAGGACTTCTCCCTGCTACCCTTAGCCTCCTTCTTACAGGCTAGGGCTCTTTGCTCTGCAGCATTCTCATGCACCTGCCTCCTTGGCCCCCTTACAGCTGGATTGGCCCTCTAGACCCCTCCTGTCCTCTGACTGTGCCTAGCAGAGCTATCTCGGATGACTGCCCTGTGGGAGACCAGAGGCTGGTTAGCTGGGTTTGTTTTGAATCCTGATCACCAACCCAGGCCCTTTCTTATCTCCTTAAGAGGCAGAACAGAAAGCACAAGACCTGAAAACAAAGAAGGGACTGAGGATAAAGAAAGGCTTCCAGAGTGGGGACCCTGGGCTGAGTCACCATGACCCACATGGCATCAGGCTCCTGAGGTTTGAGGCATTCTCTGGGTCTCTTCGTCTGATTGACGGCAACCCTCCACAGCTATAGCCTCTGTGATTTAAGTCTTTGACTTTAATGCCCTATGCCCAAATCAGGCCTTAGAAGACCCACAATTTCTTCTCTCTGCCTGCTGTTAAATACATACTCAGAAGGCCGTGACATTTGCTGCTCAGCCCACAGTTAAGTGCTGCACAAAGGCCAAGGCCCTATGGGAAAGTACTTTCCCTTGCCCCATTCTGAGAGGCCAGAGTAGAGCTTTCTACTCATTTCACCTGGGATGGTTAGACATATTGTCTTGTGGGTGGGATTGGCATGTGGGATCTGTGCCTGTTGTTGTTGTTATTATTATTATTACTTTGGTTTTTTTGAAGCAGGCTCTCCCTGTAGCCCCAGCTGTCCTGGAATTCACTCCTGTAGACCAGGCTGGCCTTGAACTCACAGAGATCCGCCTGCCTCCGCCTCCCAAGTGCTGGGATTACAGGCGTGCGCCACCACGCCCGGCTGTACCTTAAGTTTTATATGCCTCGCTGAAACAGGTGCCTGCTGTGTGCCAAGAGCATGACAGGCATCACTCAGAGCCATCAACAGGTGTGTGCATGTCCCACAAGCTCCCGACAGTGGCATTCTGTGTCAAGCACTGTGCTTAATGCTGTCCTTCATTGTGGGCTATAATTAATTCTCACAACAGTCCTGTGAGAAAACAGTTGTTACAGGCTGTCATGCCT